ATATTTATATTGTCAATGTAGATTATTTGTTTATCATATAGTAAGTAATTTGTCTTATTTTTTCTAACATTAAAAATTTCATAGTTTAAGAAATTTATTTATAGATTAATATTCTTAAAGTGATTGATAGTATTAAAAAATCTTTATACTGATTATTTATATAATTTAAAGTTTTAAACTCTTTAGCATAATCTGCAAGACCAACAAATTACACACATGATATATATTCTTCTATAAAAGATTTTACAGTAATCAATTTTTCGCATACTATGTATAGTTAATGTAATTAACTAAAAGTGAATTTGATGCATGTAACAATGACTTTGTTTTTCTTTCAATTTAATGAAGAATGGTAAAAAATAAATAAATTATGATTTCCCCAACTACAAATAAGAGATAAGAGCTACATTCGACAGTATGGGGCCTCGCCAGAACCCTTCAATTTAATGCTTAAAAGAGTTGACTAAGAAGACATTTGGCAAAAAAAATGGGTCACGTAAATTTATACTTTGTTATGGAAAAAGACTCTTAAATTACTTTCAATTTGGGTTGATTACAAATGTACAAGGTCATCCTTATTTATACTTGTGTAAGGATTGATCTAGATACTATTCTAGATACATCTACAAGAACAATCTAGATAACGATATCTTCTAACTATCGAACAAGAATTTAGACTATTCTATAATTTACTACGAATATCTAATTCTGTAGAACATCTACACATTTCGAGATTCAATAAATACTAAAGGCATTACTCTACAAAATTCAGAAAAATTCCACTAAATATTTAGGATTATTTATACTTCCAAAAATCATCTTTATTTTCGAACAACTTGCAAGAATTTCCTTGCAAAAGGTGTGGATTACACCTTAGTTTATCTTGTTCATTTTTTGCTAGAATGTATGTGTGATTTGTAGTTTAAGATTACATATGAAAAGTGAAAATATTGGAGTCTCCAATATCATTTTCCATTTGGAGGAACAGTTAAAAGACGATTATTACTATTGCACAAAATATAGAATTAGCGACAAGCAAAATTTATAGATAAATAATCAAAATCTTATGCTAATTTTATTTAACTATAAATAAGCAATAGATTATAAGAAATTCAATTAGCTAGAGGTTTTTTAGTAACGGATTAAATAGAAGATACTAAAATGCTCTTTAATCTTATGATCTTAAATATGTCATGTGAAAAGTTTAAATGTAAGAGTTGCTAAAAAAGGAAAGTAACATTTTTTTGAAAATGGACTTAATTAAAAGAAATGTATGATAAACAAATTAAAAAGAAATAGCTATAACTACTCGTAATAAAAAAACACAAAAAAATAAATAAAAGATGAACAAAAACAAAAGAAGTGAACAACTGGAGCCACAAATGTAAACAAAATATAAAAACGGTGCTATCCATTAATTTGAAAAAAATAAAATCAGCAGAAGTTGAGACAGAATTGATGGAAATAGAAACAAAGATCATTAAAATCTTTGGACTTTAATTTGATGCTGAAAACTTGCAACCAACCTTAGGCAATGAAATCTATGTTTTTGGCTCTCATAAAATAAGAATTGTTTTCCAAATACACCCAAACACAAATAGAAAAACTTGACCACAATAAAAATCAAATTCAATGTTTCCAAAACCTACACTTAAAATAAAATTCAAAAGAAGTGTTGTTTGTTCCGATAATTTTTGACTGGTATAGCGAAATATTATTATAAAGAACATATAATATAATATAACATAATATGAAAGATCAACTTCATAAAAAAAATATGCTTTATTATAGTGAAATGTTATAAAGGATTGTTGTTATAAAAATATTGGAGCCCATGAAAAAAGAAATTTAGAATTCAAAGTGTTTAGGGCCCCTTTGCCATTAGGAGGGCAGACATACAAATGTAAACCCAATGGGTTTTGAACCCCACCTTGTCCTTGTCGAATATACATACACAAACAAACCGAATTCATGTATTGTTTCATGTGGAGACATTTATACATCACTATTTTGTGACACAAATACAACCCCCCCACCCCCACCCCTCTCTCTCAATATATATATATATATATANTATTTATTATATATAAATACAATGTTTGAGCTAAAGTAATGAGTTTTGCGGAATTTGTAACTCGAATGTCCACCTCAGTGTATATGCTCGTACCCTGATGTACCCAAAAAATTTAGAGCAACTTTCACATATATCAAACATAAAAATCATATTTTTATGCTATAGCTATAGTTTGCATAATTGCGCTCCATAGCAAACATAAATATGTATATTTCGCTATACATATACAAAAGAAAACAGTTGTATAATATGTTTCTGTTTCGGTATACATATAGAAAAGATCAATTGTATAATTTGTGTTTATAAAAAGCGAGAAAGAGAGAAAGACAAAAGAAAACTAGGCAGGGGAAGATCATATGTGTATTTTATAAGTGTATAGGACGAAAATATATGCATTTGTATTTGTATATACAATTTTCTCTCACTTTATATAAACACAAACGCAATGTATACATTTGTGTTTGTATAAAGTGAGAGAGGCGAGTGAGAGTGGCGAGCGAGATCTGGGAGAGGAGAGAGAAGGCAACGAAAATATTTGTATATATACAATTTTCTCTCGCTTTAAACACAAACGTATTTTATACATTTGTGTTTTTATAATAAAAGCGAGAGAGACCAGGGAGATTGCCAGCGAGAACAAGAGTGGCAAGCGAGATTCACCAAGAGAGAGGCAAAATAGCAACAGTTTACTATGGCGTACAATTAAATTAAACTATGTTTATAGCATTTAATTTGAATTAATAGTTTGCTATTATATATAATTTTCCCAAAAATTTATGAAGCCTGTCCAAACTTCATATATT